CCGTAAAAAGGAGGACACTTAGGCCAGAAAAACTTTTAAAAGGTTTAGCGGCACGACGCAAAGCAAAACGGTTTTAGTAGCGTGAGTAAAACAAGGATGGAGGCCACAATTATTCCTTTCTCTATCCTCGGTCGTTAGCAGAATCACTGCGGAAATTAGTTGGAAGAAAAATGTCTTCATTTTCATGTGATTATGAGTAGAGTATTGACAAATGGCTCATGAAAGATTCATGATGTTGCAAAGAACTGCTGCTTTGAATGCCTTTTAACCATATTCAAGAACAAGCTGCATTAACTTATGTAAATCGAGAGTATGCTACATCACAGTGTATGTATGGAATATTGAATATGTATGATCCATTCCAATCATTCGCCGATATGCTTCCTCCAAGGAAATGCTCGAATGATATATCAGCGCTGTTGACTGAAATCAGTAAGAGAGGGAAGGCAATGATGTGGTATGATAACTTGAGACAGAACGGAGAGGTTCAGTAGTAAAACTCTGTCCTCCTGGCGCAGAATTGTTGAGAGATCAAATGTTGAATTGCCTCGGCAAACCAAATTGCTCACACCTGTCACGTCTTAAAGAAAACTGGCGCTCACAACTCAGATCAAATGTAGCGCCTCTGTTGTACAAGGTTCTTTGGTCACTAGTTCATCGGATATTTCTGGTGATATAGTGGGTTGAAAGATTTTTCGACAATTATTCATCGTTTCTTGTGGAAAGAATATTCCTTGTTTTGTTGTTGTCCTACTTTCTCAGAGGAGCGTTTTTAGGTAAATTTATTAACAATGTTTCCTACTCGTCGATCAGCACTAGTCGCTGGCAAAGTCAATATGGAAGAGTAATAAAAGAAGGTTTGAAATCCCATTCATTTAGCAGAAAGTTAAAGGTTTCGTTCGAGTCCACTCCCTTTTATATGGTTTGATGAAGATGATCTCATGACTAGGCATAAATTTTGGAGCCACAGATATTAAGCGCATGAGCAGCTTTTAATGAACTGGCGAAAAACCTCGCACCAAATCAACGCTATGAAATATTCGATGACTAATTATTAGCTATTGGAGTGCAATGAACGCCTGCGGCGTTGTTTCAGTAAGAACCTCGATTTATGTTTGCTCATAACAGGGTCTTCTTAGAATCATCCACTTTCAGGAGATGTCAGACGCTCGGATGTCCACTATCTTGATGTGGACTCTCTAGCGTGCGGCAGCTTGCCCTGTTGCTTCCACTGGCAGTAAAGCAGAATGTAAATGATTATTGTCAAATGGGTTGCTGGTTAATCACGCAATGGTTAGCTAACTGACAGTGGTTCTTTTTACACTGTACAGGTTTCTTCTCCATCCAGTTATGTAGACAAAATTATTTTTCAGATTCTGAAAGATAGTGATCTGCAGTGTTGAAGAAAGTCATTTTTGAGAAAATAACAGCGGCCATTTCTTTTCTACGCTGAGCTGCCTCCTCGAGATGAGGCATCGCTTGGTAGTGAAAGAAGAAGCCGTCTGAGAACAGATGACTTTATCAAAGCGCACTGAGAAACTTGCAACTCATCTGCCACTCAGAGTCCAAGTAGGTCTGGGCAAAAAGTTGATGGTCATTTTATCCAAAACATCTGCAAATTTGGACAGTAGTAAGAACCTCCTTCCAAACTCAGGCAGTTGCAAGAGATAGACAAATAAGAGAGATCAAGCAGATACAGTACCTGGTTATGGCGAAAAAGGATCAATCAAGAAATTCTTAAAATCTCTTGTTGGATATTTGCCATTGACAGAAAGTCAAGCATTCAATTTAGACATCATTGTAATTACTGTTATTTTCGTATTTGCCGTTCATAGCTAACCAGTATTAGTAGGGTAGAGTTTATGATTTTCCATGTCTACTTTCGAAGGCTTCTGAAATCAGCAGCGAAAGTACCCTTAGAATATTAATGAGGACGAATGGCATTGTTTTGCACATTCTTGAAGCTTTCCTGAAATCATGCAGATTTAAAATGACATCAGGTGTGTCAGTAAAGACAACGTACTGAACATTCCAGGCAGACATCATTGGGAATCAAGATATTTTACTTTTCAAAACCTTTTGGCATATATGGAAGATGAACTGGAGAAGCAGTTTGCTTTGAGGATGGCCAACTTTAGCGTTAGCTATACACATTTTGGGTGGACGGCGCCATTCATTGCAATTAATTCTCAGATATGTACAATTCAGTATTAATTCCTTTTATATAATAAATTTGCATTAACATTCGTGGAGAACAATTGGACAACTGTCATTATAAAGAAAAATTACTTACTAAAGATTAGTTAAGATATTGGCATAAAAGTTATAGTGGTTGAACTTATAGACAGCAGATTGGTTAAGTCACATTCAAAGCTTGCACGCATGTTTGTAGAACAGCTATATAACCCCTTAATGAAGAATACGTCAGAAGTGTAGAACGCTCTGTTTGCCACCCATTGATACAACTTGATTACAGTTGCAGATTCCATTGAGATTTATATTCCAGAATTACCAGCAATAGAAGCTTGTTGCGTGGGTTTTTTGACAAGTAAATTCTTAATGGAATCATCGCAGTTTATGCTTTTTGGCCAGTTGTCTAAGTTAATCTGCCCCCCCCCCAGCTTCTGCAGAAGTGTCTTCACCGCGTATGACTAGAACCATCAGACCGGCTTCTTTTGATGATGCTAATTTCTTGAATATCCTATTTGCTACTGGGATGTAGCAACTTCGAGACTTTTCGACGATATTGCAATTTTTGATATTGCCTCATACTTCTGAATATGCAGACTCATGAATAAATGTTATTGGGAAAGTCACAGTTGTGAAAGTGGTTGCGCAACACGTGGCTCACATACCGCGTGGGGAAGCAGTCGTAGTTCCACAGCTCAAGTTTCGCGTGATTAATGGATGTGAACCCGACAAGTTTTCGACGATCGACAGCGAGCACAGTGCGAACAACGCATCACAGACTTAACGACGCCCAGTGAATGAGTGGACAGCAGCTGCTGCCGTCGTAAGCACTAAAACCAGCGAACACTTGGTGCATTATCACCGCAAGGTGACGACGACCTCCACATGGATTGGCACCGCGCCTGCCGGCGAAATCGGTGTCGGTGCCAAAGGGCTGGTGCTAGCCTGATCGAATGTCCGTCGTTCGAAGCGGAACATCGACCGCCAGCCGTCCCAGACAGCCTGGTGCCAACGCCAACGTCTTACCGTAGTCCAGTCGCTGATCGATTCGACTGCCTCTCGTCGATCCGACCGCCAGGCGCCTTCTACTCCGTAATTTCGTTGTGATCCAGCGCGATCAACAAAACCTCCTACGTAGAATGTATCGGAGTTACGACATTGTCCGTCAAATCTATCAAGCACCGTCTACCGTCTGGGAAAGAACTACCTGTGAATCAACTTCATAAAGCAAGACTCATCGAACACAAAACGGAGTTCAAGTTAATATTGCACTATGAAAACATTATATCCGCCCATTTACACGGTCTCACTCTCATTCGTTTAATCCTCACCTTCCTCACCGCTGTCGAAGTCGCCGTCGATCTGCCGGGCTTTCGGTAGTGAGGAGAACGTGACTGAAAAACAGGGTACTGAATGATTGGGCTCGGATCGCCGCTGGGCTGTTTATTAAATACGCTGCTGCGTCAGACGTTCAGGTTGAAAACTAAGCAATTACTACTCTCTCAGACGTCACTCATCATTTGAACTATTGAACGCAGCATCTCCTAAGACAACTTTTTGTTAAACTCATGAGATGGTGGCTTTACTGCAGCGTTATTTTGTCTGTCTTATGAGTTGCGATCAAAATTTTGATGATAACGTGCAGTTGGTGCAAATCTCTATGTATATGATTAAAAATCATTGACATGTTGCTGCATCCATTGCGTGCCTGTCTTTGCATCAGAAACATGCATTTCACGTCGCTTACTCTAAGCGTTTTGGACAGGAAGATCAGAGACACAATTTGCTGTTATTATTCATTACCATGCTTACAGTATACTTCAGTAACTTTGATTCGATCGGTGAAAGCTTTCACGACTCAGTCGGCAGCAACTAGTGATGGACTTGTGGAATGTAGCGCAATGTGAAGAATTATATACGAGCAACTTGTAAGCCATATGTTCAACTACAACAGACAATTAAGACAATGTAAAGTCCAACTGAATTCATAGAATCTTTTACTTTTGCAGATTTCCATAGCTTTTAATAAGACTTGTTGTCATCGAAGGCCTTCATAACATGATTTCACTTCAACCCTTTCACATATTCATGATCCGTTATAGTACCTGTGGCCGTGGATTTGAATCTAAGCAAGTTGAATAATTCTTCTCCTTATAAACTTCCTATTCCCCAGCTCAAAAATTCAACATTGACAGAATGGAGGTAGTCAAGAAACGGAAAATTCGACTTCAACTTCCATAACTGCTTCTACTTTCAGGTCGCGGAGACAGACGCTCAGACAGTGTTTCAACGTTCCCGATCCTGTGCCAGAGTCTGACCATTGGCCGATCATAGAGTGCGGAGCAGACTCCTTCCAAAAATTGGCACCAGATTAATCTTGATCATCACCTGGGCGTACGCCCGGACGGTTAGAAAAAACAGTTGCTTAACCTTCTATTCTGGAGGCATTCGCAACACATGTCCAAGCCATCGCAGCTGTGACTTTTCAATCTGAAGAAACAGTAGCTGTGCACAAACACTCTCGCAGATATCTGTATTCCCGACCATTTCGAGACGCGTAAGGCAGCGACTCGTCTAAGAAAACCCATTTCAGCAGCTTGTACCCGGGTTCGAAGTTTTTCAGTGATGGTCCA